TTATACCATAACAATGCACCGGTACACACCGCATTAATTATCACGCAGTTCTTGGCGAAACACAAAACCACTGTGATGCCACGCCTCCCTATTCTCCAGAAATGGCCCCTTGTGACTTTTTCCTATTCCCTAAACTCAAGAGGACCCCTAAACGACGTTTTTCAACGATAGAGGAAATAAAGAAAAAATCGCTGGCCGAGCTGAAGGCAATACCTAAAGAGGCGTTTCAACAGTGCTTTGCAAGCTGGAAACAACGTTGGCAGAAGTGTACTGTATTATAGGAGAACTACTTTGAAGGAGACAGTATAAAAATTGATGAATAAATTAATACTTTTTGAAGAAAATTACAATTCTCGTTTCTTTTTGATCACACCTCGTATATGCTAAATTAAAAATCCATAAAAGGTTTTTATTATGTATAAGAATAAAGCAAGGAGCACAGACTCTTGCATAACACATAACACATAATACATAAGAAAATGAACCAATCAAAGTCTTTTATTTCCTTCTTTTCCATGAAATAAAGGACACTTTGGTTGATTTTCTTATGCCTCATGTTTTATGCGTTATGCGAGAGCCTGTGCTTCCCGTCTAAGAACTCCCCACCGTCGTCATCGTTGTCGTTGTTGCTATTGTTATTGTTGTTGTTGTTGTTGTTGTTGTCACCACGTACTACGTCAACGGTTTCAAGCGCGTCACGGCGCGGACGTTTTCGTAAAATCGCGCGTTTCAAAAATTCACTTATGTCTCGACATACAAATAAGTAATATTATCCAAATTCTAATAATTATGCATGTAAACATAATGTATTGTACAAAATAAATATACTATGAATTTACATATATTTTTATTTTTCTTGAGATTTAATTGTTAGACTGCATCGAATAAATGCACTCTACAATATAAGTCTCAAGAAGAAAATATATGTAAATAAAGACTTGTTTAATTTTTACAATATATTGGCTGAGTTCGGGGAGACGCTATTAGCGCTATTTGTGTCATTCTATCTTCATCGTCCATTAAATGTGAAAAGTGGTCGGAAAGTAGTTCGCCGCGAGGACTATGCTCTTCCCGCTCAGCGTAAGCGTCAGCGACATGATGGGAAAAGCGTTCGACTAACTCTGAGATTTCACAGCACCTCGTCGAGCTTTTTAAATTCACGCGCATCAACCGTTTGTAGAAACCGCAGGCACATCTGTCCGCAAAAGCTCTGGTCGTACGTCTGATAGGACGTGCGATTGTACTCTATCGTCGTAGCACCGTTCCCGAAATATCGCACCAGTTCCTTGGGTGAATTCATCGATTTTAATATTAGGCTCGATTTTAATATTCGATGCGTTTTTGCACGAAATCAACGAATCTGGCAAAAAAAAGTGTCGCTCTGCCTCGCGAGCAGAGATATTAAGCGTTAAAATTGACGACTATTGAGGTTAGGAAATCTGTCATAGCGCTACATGTAGTTGGTAAAATTTGATATAGTTTTATGATATGATATTATTTTTCAATATCAAATGCTTGCTCACTTATTAAAATAATTCATATAATACACACATATATGTATATAAGACGATATAGGTATTCTTCTTAACTGTCAAAGTACACGACACGATTGTTCCTCTTCGCGTACGCTACCCAGTGTGTACCGGGCCCTGTAGCATCGTCCAGATTCACGATACCGCTTTCGTTTCGGCGCGCGCCGCTCGTCGGTAACGCGTTACGCATGAAAACGCCTCTAAAGTACGGTACGCGCATACGTCTCGCGAGCTCGTTCAATTGCACGTTGGTAGTTGCGCCAGACGGCATTTTTATCGTCTCTTTGGCGTTTTTTTTTTCTTCGCAGCTACGCCCTGTCCGCGTTTGTACGGGCCTAGATACAGTCCGCGTCCGTATTTGTACGGAGCGAGATATAGTCCGTGGCCCTGTTCCATCGCGCAATCGTGACGTTGCAGCTCTTCGAGCTGACGTCGCGCCGCTTTGCTAGGTATCTATCATAAAATATGTCGGAATCATCGACATCTAGAATGGACCGCTGATGGCAATGGTGGGGGTAGAAAGACGATTAGAGTGAGAGGCAGAAATAATAAGATCGTTCTTTCTCTGTCACAGGACAGCAGTGTTCAAATAAACTATCAGGCCTGAAGCGCACGTACAGAAGTATTTGTGATCAAAATAAACGAAGCGGTAATTGTCGAAGTTCATGGGCTTTTAGTCTTCTTCTTCGGTTTCATGCCCATACCGATCTTGGTCTTGGCTTTCATCGGTGCCCTGATGGCAGCAGCGGAGGTTCTCTCGCTCAGAGCCGAATCTCTCGCGACGACGCGTCCTAGCGCTTTGTCAGCGAGTACCTTGACGGTAATTATACATTCTACAAATATATAAATACATTGTATATACATCTCATGGTAAAGTTTCAATATGAATATATCTTTAATATGTTGATTAATGGTAATAGTCCGAATTATAAAGTAAAATTACCATTAATATGGAATAATAAATCTTTCAACTCTTATCATTAACTCTATTGTACTAATGATATTTTCATATTTAACTTCGCCATGATGTTTGAGTCACAATATTTAATCATATTTATAGTGTGATCTTCTCTTCGACAAAAATAAGTGTTCTAAGTTCTAAAAGGAATATGTTTAAATATCACTAAAAGATACCGTAGTATAAAGTTATGAGTTGACTCAACATCTGTTATACGTAGTATGTAATAATTTAATAACAGATTTTGAGTCGATATATTTTTTTATACTCTGGCAGTGTCAGCCAATGACTTAGGTCTGCTAGAAACTTAGAACACCTATTATTGCTGTCAAAGAGAGAGATATTATATGATTATAATTTTAACTTCAATATAATAATATATAAGGGACATTCTCCGCGTGTCGGAGTCCCCTTCTGCCCATTTCATTTTTTGACAGAATTCAACCAACCAGAGCGCTCAAGTCTAGAATATCGGAAGGACACAGCGCGAGATACATTTTGATACTGTGCGATTCGCGGGTTCGCGCGCCTTTAAATAGGCGGT